TGATGATCTTGGATGGTGATCGGTGGTCCTCGAATCAGATGGCCCGAGTGGCCGATATGGCACCGTACACTCTTCGGCGTGGAGAGCTGGAAACCAACCGAAAGCGCCCACCTGCTGACGGCGGAGATTGCTGCTTGAGCTATGTTCCTGGTCCGCTTAGTCGTTCGTCCCGTTACGACGATGAGTAAGTCGTCGGCATAAACGTTCTTGGGCAATCGGCTGAATACCCCGTTCATTGCCACCAAGAATAGTGTTACCGCTATGACAGATCCCTGGGGCACTCCAGTTTCGTCGGGGAACGCATCCGAGCTAGTGTTCCCGACAGTCACCTGGAAGGTACGATCAAAGAGGAAATTCCGTAAAAAATGTGTGGTGTGACCTTCCAGGCCCCAGCCGATGAGCTGCCTGATGACACCAAGTGTCCATGTCCTGTTGAACGCCTTTGAAATATCAAGGGACACTAACTCCGCAGGTGTGACCGTTGTCCTGGGCTTCCTTAAGTACTTTCCCGAGGGCTGCAAAGTAAGTGGAGGAGCCGTGTGCTTGTCGGAACGCATGCTGCCGTTCGTCAAGGAGACCGTTTGACTCCAGGAACTGCCTAAGACGACGATTTACCATTCTCTCTATCACTTTTGCCGCGCAGCAAGTGAGCGCAATCGGCCTAAAGGAGGAGGCTTCTTCACTCGCCGTGTTGTTCTTCGGAATGGGCACTACCAAGCTTTGTTTCCAGAGCAGTGTTGGGAAAATATCAAAAAATCAAATCCCACCAACGCCCAAGATCACGCTCGATTTTCGTAGACAAAAATCAACAAGCAAACAACTGCGGTTGATTTTGCAAGCTGTGATATCGCAGCTCAGAATATCAAGCTAACAAAACTCAACTGCAAACTGTGGTGAGATTGAGTTTAATGATTTTTGCTTTACTCCCGAATGCAACCGAAACTTCCCTAACGGCTTGCAGCAGTCCCTTCGTGTCTGCCATCGGTGAAGATTAAAAGGAGATAGCAAACTATGCTTTCTCTTTCTAAGAAAACGATGTGCAATGGAATCATTTTTGTGTCGAGTCAAATCTCAGCTTGATTTTAAACGTTGTAAATAGTCTCGCAATATCAAAGGAGCTTGTAAAATCAATATCAAGGATGATATTGTGTTCCAATATCGCGCGTGATATTGCGAGGGCATGAGGCATCAATTGATTTCTGATTTTGCCAACACTGTTCCAGAGGTCCGGATACTAGTCAGTGAGCCATAGATCGTTAAAGAGGGCGGGTAGCCTCGTTTTTTTAACGGCTTTTAACGGTTTTTTAACACCGGGTATCCAATCTCGTCCGGCCCGGCAGATTTACCACTACTGCTGCCGAGGGCAAACTGAAGCTTCCGGAAGGTAAGATCTTCGTTGATCTGGAGAGCAGGAACATTGGGTGGAATTCGCAAGTCACGAATGCTGACAGCAGACAGGCCAGCAAAATATTTTCCTAATACGTCGGCGATGTCCTTCGGTTCTGAGATCGAGGTACCATGAGCTTGGATAGTAGGTGGAGTAGACCACCGCTTGCCACTCAGAGCGATGACGCGATTCCACTACATCCAGCTAGATCACTTTGCGTCACGGATCACCTGTCTGCACAAGAGATGGCGTTCTCGGTTAAACTTCAGCGCTTCCTCCCTACCAGGGTCGTCTTAGGCGAGACGTTTAAGCCGGCGTAAAGCTTTGCGTCGCGCTTTCACCGCACATTTGGTATCCTCGTTTCGCCAACGTAGGGCTTTTCACCCAGGTACGCTACCCGTCCTTGGGATAGATACTGTTGCAGCTTCGTAGAGTACTTCCGTGAAGCTGGAGATGTCGTTCTGATTGCGTTGCTGAAGGAGAGCGTCCGATTTCTCCCTGACGGCGTCCCAGTTGGATTCCTCGTAGCGCCATCTCCGAGTCGTTGGAGGGGCCGCGCCTACGGAAAGCTGTATGCGGATCGGGTAATGGTCACTAACATGCAGGTCGTTACTGATATTCCACTGTGTCCTGTTCGCGATAGATCGACTGGCAGTGGCAATGTCGATCGCGGTGGTGTGCCGTCCTAAAAAAAAGGTGGGAGCGCCGTCGTTCAGCACCACCAGGTCCTCAGTCTCGAAGATGTTCGCCAGGGTAGAACCTCTGGGGTCTGGGCGAGAGCTGCCCCAGTCTGGATGGTGCCCATTGAAGTCGCCGACGAAATCGGAATGTAAGTATTATTGACAATAATCATAACAATCGACTCGCATCAGTGATGATTGAATATATAGGGGAAATGCAGGTAATGTCGGCCTAAGTGTCCCTAATTTGGGCCCATACATAAACTCAGCAATCAACTAAATTTTCAATAGCAACCAAAAATATCCATAAGTAACGTCCCAATAACGCGTTCATCTAGATAAAATTGATAAATAGCAGACTTTTAGCGATGGGCCCAAATTAGGGACATGTAGGCCAACATTACCTACATTTCCCCTATATATATATATAACATCTAGGGGAAATGGCTCTAATGTTGGCCAATGGATGTAAGATTGGGCCCATCGCTTAAAATCTGCTATTTATCAATTTAATCTAGATTAACGCGTCATTGAGACGGTACTAATGGATATTTTGATAGCTTTCGAAAATTTAGTCGATTGTAGAATTTATGTATGGGCCCATATTAGGGGCATTTAGGCCAACATAACATCCATTTCCCCTACATAAACATTTAAATACATATACAAAAGGGAAGGAGGGTCCAACAGGGCACTCGATTGTAGCGATTTGGACGGGGGAGAGTGGAAATGCCAACTCCCTGTTGATAACATTTCGTGGATAAAGGGCGGGTTTTTCTCCCCACTCATCGGAGCATCTTACTGTTTGGTGGCTCGTCTTTTTGACCAATTATGCGATCTTGCTGCAGGAAGAAGATTCTTTATTGTCCCGTAGATGTGTATATGTGACTTTTCCTATCGATCCACCCAATCCGTTTTTGGCCCTTCATACAGCGACGTGTTGAGGACAATCAGAAGTTATTAAGCTTGATCAAGACAAACAGAGAAGAGAGTCCACTGCTATCGGACTTAGTTTCCGTGCTACAATCAATGGGTGGTAAACCACTATCATGCATCATCATCATTAATTCACATTCAAAGTGTTCAATTTAAGCGAAAATTCACACATCCAAGGAGGAATTCGTTGTACTCGTGAGGATACATTTTTTTTTAATTAAAAAAAGTAGTTGAAAAATGTGTACGGCTAACCCCACTTGGAATTGATTTGTAGATCTATTGGGATTCTCTAACATTTCTGTTTGGATTATACTGAATTTTACTTCGTACAATTTATAATCTATGTCTTAGGGAGTTCTCCGATTTTTCGATATTTCCTAAATTTGCTCATTGATTCTTCAGAAATATCTGAGCTTCTTAAAGTACTTCGGAAATTCAAATGATGACGTTTTTCAAAATGTCTCTATGAATTCTCCAAGATTTCAAATAAGATAGATCTCTTCAATTTCTCGTGAAATTCTGCGGAATTCAATGTTATAATTTTTATAAGGATTCTCTTGCATCTTTCTTGCCGTTATTTAGAGTTCCTGTCTGAATTATAATACCACTTTGAATACTCTAAAATTCCGTTTGATGTTCTACAAAATCTCACTTATGGTTCATGGTTATACTTCTTGCAATTCTCTGAAACTCCACTTTGGTGCTGGGAATTTACGTGGATAAGCCTTTTATTTGTAAAAAATACGCATTAAGACCATTGCCTTTTGGTCCGTTGATCAACAAATGTCGCTTCTTGAAATTGAAACTTTAAATACTTGTCCTGTAAATACAGTTCAGTTATTCACCGTAGTTATCGAGTTCTCGGTAAGATAACAAGCAAAACATAAAGCGTTAGTGTACAAGTAGCGTAGAAAATAAGGTTAGTTATAGATTTTTTGTATGGATTGCATCCTGTATGGAGATACGTCATGATTGCATTCCAATGGCCAAAAGTTGGGTTCAATATTGCTCACAAAATTTCGAACAAAAAAGTGGATTTTGGTAATATTGGCTCTTACGTCAACTACACAATCATGGGCAGTATATCTAGAAAATAATGGAACCGTGACTTCAGGGTGAATTTAATCGCAAAGGCATTATCTCCCTCCCCAGATCCCCTTCCAAAATTTCCCAAATTCTACATTATATTTTATATATAGAAAAAAAGTTGTTCCAAACAAGTGGTTGACAAAAACATAACATCATTGTGTTTTAAGATTCTGAGCCTCAAACATTTGTGATTAAAAAAACTAATCTCGTACTCAGGCATACACAACGGCCTAAACACTTTCTTTATGACAAGCTATCTGAATTGGCCTTAACCTTAATTCAAAATACTCAAAGAACTTCAATTTACTGCATCTTTAGTTACAGAAAATTTGCTAAACGAACTCAAATAGTCTTCTGCACGATTGTAGAAAAAAAACATAAATTCTTCCATAACCAAAGCTCCAGCACAAACATGAAACACCACAGCTTCGCAAATCAAGCTTTATTTCATCCACTACGGAAACCACTGCACACATGTTTGGATACAGAAGAAAAGAGCTCGTGAATCCAAACAATCGACCATGCAATTTTAAGCACTCGTAAAAAAATCTTTCAGGTGACGTTTCCTCGCTCGCTCTCCTTCCAATTCTCTCGCCCATTGGATTGATCAGTTCCTTCGTAAATCCAACAGAGAACCAAAACCGAATCACCTCCATCATGTCGCATCGATCACCGATCATGTCATCCAACTGTTCCGCCCCATGCGATCGGGCGAGCGGTGCAATTTATTACCAAATAACTTTGTGATAGTTTGTATTTCTACCTTTGGCGGGATGAATGCGAGCGTAAGGTCAGCTCTCTTCCTCGCCGGTAATCGTCATCATCGTTTGCGGATCGGAGCGGAGAGCATCCAAAGAGTTTCGATTTTTCATATAAATATTGGACCCAACCGGTTGAACTGTATCATTGCTTCAGTTAACTTTAATTCAACTATATCGTTTCGTTGCACGCATCCAAAGTGCAAGTTTACTTCGACATAATGGCGTTTAAGGTAAGAACTAGGCAGAACATTACAGAAGATTACTGCAGTGAGTTTGATTTGTAGAGTTTGAAGTGATATTTTCAACAAATAGTTCTGTTCTGTAACAAAAAAAACACAAGCTATGAAAACAAATCATAAAGTCAACAAAACACAGGAACAGGGCACAACATAGAGTGAAGCAGATTTGAGCTGCATTACAATTTTAATGAAAAACATCTGAATTTTCCAAGTGTGCGAAAGTGATTACCTTCAGTTGAATCATTCAATTAAAACAAATTGATTGATTGACAGGCAGGCTCCATAAGGAACAAACCAAATCTCATACCTTTCTCATCTCAACCCAACAGATGGTTGCCCTGTTTGCCACTCTGGCCTGTGCCAGCGCTGGCTACCTGGAAGCTGATCACCACTCGGCACACTACTCCCCAGCCTCGGCCGTCAGCTATAGCTCGATCACCCGTGAGCACCACCCGACAAAGGTTGCCAAGACCGTAACCTACGCCGAACCGGATGTCCACTACGCCGCTCCAGTCACCAAGACCTTATCGTACGCTGAACCAGCTGTCCACTATGCTGCTCCAATTACGAAGACCCTGGCCTACGCCCAACCAGCTATGCACTATGCCCAGCCATCGGTCCAGTACGTCCATGAGCCAACTTACACCAAGACCGTTGTAGCTGAACCAGCCTACACCAAGACCTATGAACACCAGCAGCCAAACATGTACACTGCCAAGACTCTGACTTACCAAGCTCCTGTCACCTACAGCTCCCTTGCCGTCAAGAGTGTTGTCCCAGTTGCCAAGACCTACGTTTCCGAGCCAATCTACGCCAAGACCTATGCCTCCGAGCCAATCTACGCCAAGACCTATGCCTCCGAGCCAGTCTATGCCAAGACCTATGCCTCCGAGCCAGTCTACACCAAGACCGTTGTTCAGCAGCCAACCTACGTCAAGACCGCTCAGCCCTTATACGCTCATTCTGCTCCAGTTGTTGCCACCAAGACCCAGAGCTACGCACCAGAAGCTCAGGTGTCACACATTAGCTACCAGGATGCCAACGCTCATTACGCTTGGTAAATTCAGGTTTCGTCGGACTTCTCACAAATTGTCAGCACTTATGTGGAAGGAGTTCGAAGCCATTAACTGCCAAATATGTTGAACGATATTGTTGAATAAAATTGTTATTGCGACTGAACACACTGTATGCCGTCTAGTTTATTTGTATTCTGGAAGTGGAATAATTAGTCCATACCTGAGTCACAGATTGGGTGAACTATTCAGAACCACTTTGTCAGGGATCGCAAATAGAATCGAAGTCTGGGCAAAAAGCTATTAATCATTCACTTTTGGCCAAGTGTAGCACCTGTACCTATTTGACGATTGTGAGATCAGTTGTTCTGCATACCGGGTTCTGGTCCAGCTATATTATAAAATACTGACCGTACTTCAGTTCTCTCGTTCCGACGTTTCGGTCGCGGATTTGGACCTTCTTCAGGGATCTATAATTTATTATTTTTCATAATTCTAAATTACATTCAGTATGCCAATGACAACATTTCGTATGATTGATATCTAAGGACTAGAATTGACGTGGTGAAATGGAAATGTCTTTTGATAGCTAGTTTTGCGAGTGTCTGAAGCAAAGGCAACCGATTATCACACTGATCTAGATGTTACCATCAAAACTAGTGAACCTACCGTGGCATTACTTCGCTTAGCGCTGTTGCTAAATTGTTCGAACTCGTTGCTATGGAACCGTTACTCGCTCATTGTAAGCCGTATATTAGTATCGACCAGCATGGTTTCATGGCTGGTCGCTCCACTGCCACTAACTTGCTGTGCCTACTTCCTACATCTCTAACAGTATGTCGGATCGTGCTCAGACGGATGTCATTTATACTGACTTATCTGCTGCACCTCACCGATCGCTATCTTACTGTTGTCATTGGTGATCACCAGTCCCGTACCTTCGCTGCCACATCCGGCATACCTCAGGGTAGTCACCTGGGACCGCTGATTTTCCTGATTTATTTCAACGACGTGAATCTGGTAATTGAGGGACCACGATTATCTTACGCAGATGACCTTAAACTCTACCTCCGAATTCACTCAATTGAAGACTGTTGCTTTCTTCAACGTCAGCTGAATGCTTTTGCAAATTTGTGTATTCTGAATCGTATGGAGGTTAACCCGTCCAAATGCTCGGTTATCTCTTTTTCGCGCAAGAAAGAGACTATTATGTTCAAGTATGTTTTGTTAGGCACTGAAATTGAGCGCGTCAGCCAAATTAAGGACCTAGGCGTGATTCTGGATACAAAACTCTCTTTTAAGCAGCACATCTCGTACGCCGTCGACAAAGCTTCCAGAATTCTAGGGTTTATCTTCAGGATTGCCAAAGACTTCACGGATATCTACTGCCTTAAATCGTTGTACTGCTGCTTGTCTCGCTCCATATTAGAATACTGCTCGGTTGTCTGGACTCCTCACTACAACAACGGTGTCGAAAGAGTTGAGTCTGTCCAGCGACGGTTCCTGAGATATGCGCTACGTAAACTGCCGTGGACGGATCCCTTCCGATTGCCTAGCTACGAAAGTCGTTTGCAACTGATCCATCTGGAGCGCCTGTCGGTGATGCGGTGTATCTCGCAAGGGCATTGCAAATTGCGGATATTTTGCAAGGACGCACCGATTACCCTGTCCTCCTTGAGGAAATTGACGTCAATGTTCAACCCTACGGAATAATTCAATGCTGCGCCTGCCCATTAGAGTGATGCAAAATTTGAAATTTTCGCTCCACAATACTTAAACGATTCCAAATCGAATCCTGAGTAACCTCTCAAAATTTGAACCCATTTGGTGAGAAACTGAGATGGCACAAACCATTTGAAGTTTGTATGGGAATTACTATGGTAAAACCAAGATTTTTGTTCATGTCTATCTAATAATTCACCATATCGGTCTGCTTCAAAAGCTTTCAATTTTACTTGTAGGAAATTTTCCCAGCTACAACTTTGCTCAAGACCACTTTTTGATTGAATGCAAGGATCGAAAGTTATTAATGGTTCAATGCACTGATGTCTTATGATCATGCTCAATCAACTGCTCAGCAGGCAACATTGGTGTTTCTGGGGCGTTGAATAGGACACGAAAATTATGGCTACTATGTCACACTGCAAAATACAGTGTTGCCTACAGAGCAGCTGCTTGATCATGTCATAAGTTTACCAATCTCTTAAATAATTAATAACTATTTCCTGTCTTGTTTTACATAGAAACGATCTTTAGCAAAGTTGTAGCTGAGAAAATTTTCTATAAGAATAGCTATCGAGCTGTTTTGCTGCTCAATATGGAAAAAGACTAGAAGGTAATGAACAAAAAGTTGAGATTTCCCATAGTAATTTACATGTAAACTTCAAATGGTTTGTGCGAAGTCTGTTTCTAACCAAATGAGTTGTAACTTTTGGAGGCTAATCACGACCCGATTTGAAACCATTTAAGCACTGTGGAGCGAAAAAGTCAAATTTTGCATCAGTCTACTGCCCATACAGCGAACTAATTATAGCATGTTCGGTGCAATCGGTGGTTTACAGAGACTCTTCAATAGGGGTCTTCGCACTGTTTGATTTTGACCTGACTCACCAACCAGCTGCTTCACCGGAGCAGTGCTGCAAAATTTCGACAATACACGGTGATACTCAAAATTCTGCTTTGGTCACTCGTTTGAGCTAACAGTCATCGTCAAGGCAAACCATGTCAATTGTCAGTACCATTTTTGTCAGTGACGAACATGTGCTAATTTGTTTATTAGCTAAATTTGAAATGAAATTAAATGCCTTGAGCAAAACAATTACATGGAGCCATTAAAGTGAATAAGCATCTACGTCCTGAACCGCTTGGATAACAATAATGTGTTTCAGAATGCAAGAAATTACACTTTCTGTTACCAGGTGACTCTTTGTCATTGACGAAAATATGAATGAGATTTTGACAAAGATTTTTTTGAGGATCAATTCTATCATTGACTATGTGAAAAACAATTTTGTCAATATCGTGCAAAAGTCTGTCAATGACAATGACAAATCTCAGCACTGCACCGGAGGTTTAGTTCGTTTTTTTCTAGATCAGTTTAGTTTGTTTAGTAATATTCCTTTTTTTTACGAGATGACTATCTATGTACTTATTGATGTTTTCTTCTTTCCTTTATTTAACGTCGGTCTCTGTTCCGCAATCTAGTGCCAATCACCGACGGACATCGATTACCATCCATTGACGGCAATCGAATGTGCAGGAAGGCAGCTTCCACACCTGCGTAGGATATCGCACCCATTCATCAACACACATGGGCCGGGACCAACGGCTTTACTTCCCTTGCGAAGGAAGACGTGACCAGAGATTTTTATGCCTCAGAAAAATCCCACCGACCTCGGCTGGGATTGAACCCAGACCCATTGGGGTGTTAGAAAGCAGTCACGCTTACCACTACACCACCGGTGCCGGCTATATAGATGTTTTGTTTTAGTACTTTTCATGTTTAGTTTAAGTTACATCATTGGGGCAATTAACGCCTCTTGATGTTCAGTCATATAAATAAGTAAATAAATAAACAATTGGAGCAAAATGAGCGTACCAGGGCTGGGTGGTCTTAACGTAGGTTGGTTGCTGGACAACGGTCCTGGTATACACGGGTTTAGAGGAATCGGAATCGTAGGTCTGGTGTAAGTAGGTCTTGGCGTAGGTTGGCTCAGCTACAACAGCTTTGGTGTAAGTAGACGCATGGACATACTGGACCGCTGGCTGGGAAATGTGCACAGTTAGTTGGGCGTAGGACAGAGTCTTGATAGCTGGAGCAGGATAGTGGACACCTGGATGACCGTACGATACGGTCCTGGCAACCTTAGCCAGGTGATGCTCACGGGTGATCGAGCTGTAACCAGCTTCCACGTAGCCAGCGCTGGCACAGGCTAGAGTGGCAAAAAGGGCAACCGTCTGTTGAATGGAGAAAGAATTCTTGTTATTCTTTATTCTGCTCATCTAATCGAATTGTTAACGACTCGGGGAAGGGTTATCAATTTATTTAGATGAGCAGGTACGAGTTTAGGATCAGTTCATAATCTACGTAGCTGGTTGAGCAATTTTAATCCAGTAGTTCTTACAACTGTTGTAAGTACTGCTAAATCCCTCCTCAAAGCAATCTTTTTATATAGTTAATAAACTCCCAGACAACCAGAGTTCAAGTATATTCAAAGTTGGTTCTGTGATATACAAACAGATATACAAACAAACAAATCGTATTGAATGCAAAAAAGAGGCGTCTACGTACAAAAGTGGGGCCATATAGTGCATATTTCTTTTTAAACGAGTTGATTTCACATCATATACGATTTAATCTGTAATAAAAAATTCAATTTGAAAAGTCTTACGATGTAATCCAATGTAATTTGTGATACAGTAAGATGGAAAAAAAATATTCATCGCATATAAGTCTGAAATTTGGATTCTATACGATTTAACTAAAACATAAAGCGATGTATGTCATACTTATATACGATGTTGACATAAACTGTAGCTATTTACAATACTGTCTGAACATTTTTATACGACTTCTGGTTGTCTGGGCTGCGCCTTATTAGAATCACTTGTTATTCGAAAAAAAAACTGATCTGAAGCGTCTTCGTTCGTTTGAAAATGTGCATTCTATTATTAAGGAAAAAAGGATGAGTTCTGCACCCAACTCCACATTCAATTCACTTTACTTTAAAATTAGACGATCAGGGTTGCAAATTTGTATGACTTTTCAGATCAGAATTCAAACTCTTCAAACAGAAACGCTGCACTAAACTTCAGTAATTTCTTTCTGATTTGCCGACGAACCATTGTGTCGAAGTTATTTGCACTTGCGATGCGTGCAAAAAAACGATTTAGTCGAATTAAAGGCAATGATACAGTTCGACCGGTTTGGGCTCAATATTTATATGAAAAATCTAAGCACACGGCAATGACGATGATCAGCTCAACGAAGAAGAGACGCTGACCTTCCGGGCTTGCGCTCGTTTGGTCAATAAATAGCGGAAATAAAATCTATCATAAA